GACAATAATTCCAAGCTCTTAACTATTTTACTTACGTGGTTGATTTTAATAAAATGTCAGCTTTCCTTTTGGCTAAACAAGCATATCTAGTAGTAAGCATTAAATCAGGTGGACTGGTGCAATAACTGGGAGACACCTGTTTTAGGAAATAAGTAATTTCCTTCTGCTTCTTTACTTTTTTTTTCTGTCAGCATTTAATTAAGAAAAAAGAGAGGGAGTTGGCCATCTGAGAATTTAAAGTGTCGACTCTATTTGCTGTTTAAAAGCTTTTTGGCTTTGATTGCAGAAGACAGATTTTCATTGCAAAGTTGTCCTCATGCATCACGGTTATCATTTGAAAACATGAAATTGCCTGAGATAATCTGTTGTCTTTGGGAAGAGAATTTAATTTTAAGATAGAGTGTTTGGGCCTGATGAGATTCCGTGTAGGTACACATAAGAAAACATACTGGGTTCAGTGCAGAAGTAGGGTGTCACAAAAACAGAGTAGTGTATATCATTCTTGGGGTATTAATGGAATTGCTCAGTTCTCTTTCCTCAGGAGACTTGCCTCAGGATATTTGTCATAAGTGAAGGTATTAAAAAAAACAAAACACGCAAGCCCCTCTAAAAGTAGTCAGAAAGAAGTTTTGTGCAAGGATTATGGGAGAGGTATGTGTAAGCTCTACCAGCTGAGTCCACAATATAAGCTACTCCTTGTGATTTTTATTGTGAATCCTTTTGCTTAGATCACTGTGAAGCACAAAAACATACACACAATAACATAATTTTTGACACATTAAAATATTTTCTTCTCTTTGCCCCACTTGACCTATGCGACAGTACAGGGTAGTCATCTTTTCAACTGAATACCAGTTCTGCTTTCACTAGTGTTGCTAGCCTATTGTCTTCCTGCAAAACAGGGACATGCCACAAATCTTCTGAGATCCACTACAGCTATTGAATACAGTCTAGTTAAATCTTTGCAGAATGCTGGAGCTATGAGGGTGACCATAAAACCAAGAAAAAAATGTGTTTATAGAAATTCTTCTAGAAAGAAATGAAGGCTGAGTAGCAATACAGACAAAGGGACCCAGGAGGTTGGGGAGGAATCCTTCCCCCCATACAACTCTGCCCAGACATGGCTCTGTGAGTTGTTGTGACCACCTGGACCTAAAACCTGCCTTGTCTTAACTCATTTATCTTTTTGCTAATGCAGGAAAAAACCTCAGTTTGTCATGATGGGCAGTGGGGCAGAAGGGATGCTATGAAGAAATCATTTTGCTTATATTTTCCATTTCTCCTGCAGTTGTTGCTAAATCATAAATTTATCACAGCAGGAGCTTGCCATGTTCATAATATTATATCATAGTGACTTACGGAGATGGAAAGAAAATCATATACATGTGGTGCCAATTTTCAACTAAAATCTCATCACTTTGCCCAGGCAGCTTTGTTTCTTGAATCTGGCTCAAGAGAGTTTCACAGATTTTGGAAATTATGGGTATGTTCTTCCACTGATCTCCTTTGACAAATATATCTAAGAGTTCTTAGGTACAAGTGAGCCTGGACTACAAGACAGGATGATGGCGCAGTTGGCTAAGCTTCCTAGTTGTGAATTTGCTGCCTAGCTTAGGGATGAAGCTTTAGCCAGTATTAGTAATCCTGATTGTCCTATCTTTATTAAAACAACGATCTGAGTTTATCTCTAGTTCTGCCATTTTTTCCGTATCTTTGCTATTTATTCAGTTCTTGTATCTTCTGCTTTTATTGCCTTTCATTAGGCTCATTTATTTATCTGGTCTCACATTTGGATTTCTTCAGTTAAAATTGGTTTTGAAGAGCTTATGATACATTTCTGTGTATAGATATATAAAAAAAGAATGATTCCAGGTATGTTGCAGTGCTGTAGCACTATCATTTTTTTTCAGAAATGAATTTGAGACAATCTAAGTTGCAGATCTTGTCATGTCTATGTCACAATGGCATCATCAGTGAAGCTTCTGCAGTTTAAAGAGAAAAATAATCTGTATGCAACCTTAAAAATGCACTGTCCTTGTTTCATGCGAATTAGCCCAAAACCAAAAGAGGCCAAGGCTATAGCAGTACTGGACTTTTTCTGGCTTCAAATTGTGGCTTTTAACATCGATACTGCTAAACCAGCTAAGAGATATTGAAGGATATAGTTTCTCATTTAAAATTAAATCATCCCCTCTTTGGAGAAATTAAAAAACAAAAACAAAACAACCAAAAAACCCAAAACAAACTACAGAAGAGAAGAAAGGGAGAAGGATTCAAGGAAGTCCAAAAGTCTAACCTTGCAGAGTTTCTGCCAAAACCTTCCTTTCAGAAGATTTTGTGATCTGTTTTCAATTTAAATCTGCATGTATTATGCTCACTGTTAAGGTCCCTAAACCTTAGGATGTATGAGGATAGTACTGTCTACTTAGGTACAGCTACAGAGAAAGGATGAAGATAATGCCTCTGCCTTGAATTACCTCCTCATACACTGGTCAATCTTCAGCATCATTAGCTTTGTACCCTTCATAACTGTCTCCAGAAGAATTGAGGAAGTTAAAAGCTGTGGCTTGCTAGGCAAGGAGAGGAAAAGAATAGTTTCATTATAGTTTTCATAAATCTGAGAAAGATGGATAAAATCTTCCTATGTCAAAAGAATATGAAGCTGTCTTATTTCTGTCTCTTTGCAACTAGTAAAACAGGAATAGCTGAGAAATGAGTTTTCTTGATAGCGAAAATATGGCTGGAAAACTATTTGAATATTTGTAGGGGATAGGGCTTACATCATGTTGTTTTTCACACTTCTTACTTCCCTGAAAATCTGCATTTAAATATTTTTTCATTAATACTCTTTACCACTGTAGATACTGGCCTGTGTTTTTGAAGGTACTGTTCAACTCCTGGTCCTATGTTGATACTCCCAAACTTACATGCTAACGTTTTCTCACCCAAAAGAATTGAGAGGCAAATTTACAATTTCCATTCAGTCTCACACTAAGGCATCTCTTCTACCAAAAAAATTATGCTACAGAATTTTTCTGGCAAAATCTGAACTATGTGATAAAAATTATTTTAAAAATATGAGGTTTTGTTATAGACATTGTGCCCAAATTTTGCTACAGCTCAGCACTCAACAACATAGTACAGAATACTATGAAGGAGAATTAAATCATAGTTTAGTTCCATCTAGACTAGCAAAGCCAATTTTTTTTTTTTTTTTAAGCTAAGCTGGAAAACTTCTGTGGGTCCCCCAATACTGGTTTTTACAGTGTAGGCAGGACTGACTTTTGTGACTCAACTAACCATGTTTTTTTAATTAGATCACATCCTAAAGGAAAAATGTTACTAAAACATCTGAAAATATAAAATATAAAATGCATTGGGCTTTTCTAGGAAAAGATATGTATAAAACTATGCAAATAAAATACAAAGATGGCAGTATTGCTTGTGAAATTGTGCTTAACAAAAGAAGGCTTAGGAGTTCTGGCCTCAGCAGTTCACGATCCACTTCTGTTTGTTCACCGGGAAAGGTGTATTAATAATTTTCGTAAGAAGTGCTTGGCATCCAAGGTGTCTTCTAAATCGACTAAATCACAGTACTGGCCTTTAATTGAAATATTTTATCCCTGCATCTGTCTAGGCTGCACTTTTTATAACTATTGTTTAAGGAGAATAAGGTGGGAGCATCTGTACTACAGCTGCTGTTCAAATAGAGCAATGTCTTTACTGTAGACAAAACACTTGGCAGAATTGTTTTAATTTATTTGTTTATGAAGAGCCAGAAATAAGAAGGCTTTATATTCTTTTGAAGTGGGAATATTTTCTTCATTTTCTTGAGATTTTCAAAAAATGTTTTTCCAGAGGGTATTTCATAAACTAGGATAGACAACTATCCAGCAACTCTTTTATTTCTATGACATGAGGAAGAAGGAGATTCTTCTCTTTCTGTGCATCATTTCTTGGGATTGTTAGGTTTGATATGAAGTATTTATTAATAGTTTCCAGAAAGATGCTGTGATACATTTACAAGAACTTGCTGAATTTATTAGTAAGTGTGCAGAGGACAAACTGTTTTCTTTTTAAGTAATTGCAAATGGAA